TTACGACGTCCTAGGCCCCTGGGTGGGGCCCGACTAGTAATCAATGCCAAATCCGACGAAACAACTGGCCGCTGTGATACAATTCTGTTTTTGCGAATAATAATAATAATAGCAGCAACTTTCATCTGTTCTTCCATTCCCTTCCCGGCTGTCTCTCAGCTGCCTGCTTGTCTATCTTCATTTTCCATCTTATAAAACAACAGTCAAGTGTGCCTTACCTTTTCCATGAATCTTGGATTCTGACTCTTCTGTTTTGCCATGTGATGCTGAGATTCTCATTTTTTCATGTCCCTACAACTAGGATATTATCAGCATTAAATAGTTAACCTGAGTTTGCCGTATTAGTGTGAATAATTTGGGCCGAGTTTATAACATTTGATGAATTACAGGAAGTAAATAGTTACTGTCTGACTAACTTGAATCAAGAGGAGTAACAAGGACAAGTTGAATTTACCAGCTTTGGTGACATGGCTCAGTGGCTAATATCTACAGTCACTGTTCATCTTCGTTGTAATGTGTATAAGATATCACTAAATGTCCTTTATTGACAACATTAGCCGCCCGGAGTCCTTCGGGATTGGGCGGCATATAAATATATTTAATAAATAAATAATAAATAAACATGAGTAATGAGGTATTTTTATGGCAGAAAAAAAGTCAAGGGAAAGAATCCTAGTTAGTGACTTCTATGTATAACACAAAATTTATTCCTTGCATTTCAGATCTTAAAATTTCAAACTGATGAAAAGTAACTGCTTGGAATGGGTAGTTTGATTATATCTTAGTTCAGGGAAAATTCCATGTCCTTCTTTCCTTCCCACTGATGAAACTTTTTTGGGGAAGAGTAATTATATTAATATTTAACCAAATGAAATTGATAAGATTTTCACTACTTTTCCCTCTACTCCAAGTGACTCAGAGGAATTATTGGAGAGTTAGATTCAGTGGTTTCTTTTATTGTATTTTTTTTAAGTTTCATTATAAAATAAAATACCAGAAAAAAAAATAGAAAACTAAGAGAAAGAAAGGGAAAACGCAAAGAAAAAAGGAAAAAAGTGGTGACTTTTGATTTTTTTTCAACATGCTAAACTACAAAAATAGAGGTGGTTTAAGTTGTATGATCACAATACCCACTTTAGCTCTCCCCCCCACCTTGCTTGGGACAGCCGGAATTGAGTTAACCCAATAGCCATCTAACTGAATCTCTGTGGAGGCCCAGGTTTCCTGCAAGAAGAGGATGTCAAATTGTGATATATAGTCAAAAAAAGAGTTGGTCTTTTGATGGAACAGACCAACATGCTATATTCCATGTTATAAAGGAAAGTGAGTCATCTTTTGCAGCTCATCAGGAAACTTTGCAGCTCAT